CCCCCGCGGCAAGCCTGGGAGAGAGGCGGGAGAAGGGGAGTTGTGGCGCGCTCGGGGGATGGCGGCGGTGGAGCGGAGGTGAACTGGGGCGGGGAGCGGTTCCCTGCCCTCCCCCCAAGGGTTACTCCCCACGCCCGCTGGCCCCAGCTCACCTCCGCTCCGCCTCTGAGCGCGCCGCTACTCGCTTCTCCTCCCTCCCTCCCTCCCAGCGCTTTCGCACAGCAAGCCTGGGAGGGAGGTGGAAGGAGGGAAGCGCGGCGCGCCTGGGGGAGGAGGTGGGCCGGGGATTTGGGGAAGGGGCAGAGTTGGGGCGGGGCTGGGAAGGGAGCGAGCAAATTTGCCGCCCCCGCAAATTTGCCGCCCTAGGCCTAGGCCTTGTTGGCCTAAGCGATAATACGCCGCTGACTGGGAGTCAAGTTCTCGGGGGACTCCCTTGCAATCTGTTGTATAGGAACAGATTTCCTGTGCCCCAGGTTGCAACACCATTTGGCCTGGCAGTCCCTCCATCTGTACAAGAGGGGCAACAGGGTCAAATGTCAGTGGCATTGCAACAGTACTGATTTAGTATGGGACCACTGCTTAAAAGTGGTCAGGCCACGCCTCCCCATCCCCTCAGTTTTGCAGCCTATGGAACTCTGAGCAAGTGCAAGAGGAGGAAGCATTCACCCCCAACCCCTCCTAATTGGCACCACTGACTGTAGCTGCAGCTGTATCACATGGGGTAAGAGGCACTGCTGAAGTGTCCAACTGCCAAACTTTCTGGGGCTGAATTTTCAAGTGTCCATGATTCTGAATGTCTCAGACTGGACACTCAAAAATTGAAGCACCCAAAATCAGAGCTCCTGAGTGTTCTCAGGGCCCATTCAGAGCACATCATAGCGATGGAATCTCGAGGTGACAAAGGCCTGGATAAGGATGGCTAGCTTGCATGCTTCTTCTTGAGCATCGTTCAAAGAAAGCGACTTGGTGCCCAGGTAGTGCCTGTGGCCAAAAACAGACCTGGCTCCAATAAACGCCTTAAGGGCAAATATGGAGAATGTGCTCTCTGTGTGGGGGTCATGGCACAACCTTGGATGGTTCTTCCATTTATTTCCCGCAAGCTACCAACATTGTCTGTGTCTTTCCTGGGTTAAGCCTCAGCTAACTTGCCCTCCTCCAGCCACCAGTGTGCTATGGGAAGTGCTTTCTCTTTCCATCCCTCTCTCATGGAAGCACTTTGCCCTGATGCTGTCCATGGCCCCACACCTATCCCAGTAGGTTGATGTTGTAGTGATAAATGTGCTCTCCTTACTTCCCATTAGATGACTTGGTGCAGATGCCTCCAACACCTCCCAGCAGCCATGGCAGTGATAGTGATGGATCCCAGAGTCCGCGGTCCCTGCCTCCCTCCAGCCCAGCCCGGCCAGCTGCTCGCTCTTCCAGTGCAATCTCCACCTCGCCTCTCCTCACAGCACCACACGTAAGGAACTAGAAAGGAGACATCAGAATTCCAGCAGGATACAAGCTCCACCACAGCCTACAGTGCAGGGTTCTTCGAGCTCATAGGAGCTGGGAGAATTTACCTGGCTGAAGGTCAAAGGGAGACATTAGTTGTTAGTCTCACTGTTGATAATTTCTGCTCTGGCCCAGGACTGGATAACCAGAGGGGCGCTGCAAATCAGGAGTGAGCTCAATTGGCAGAGCTGGATGGGACCCCAGGCCTGAAGTGGTGAGCGGGGGGGAGTGTTGCAGGTCAGGGTTGAGATATATGTCAGAGAGAGAGTGATGAAAAGAGACTTGCATAGCACCTGCCTGTGACTGCCATGCTCCAGCCAGTATTAGGTTAGTCCTTCACTTTCAGGACCACCAAATTCACTAAAGAACACTTAAGGGAGTTCCTGGGAAGTCACGTAGAAGGGACATGTGGTAACTGCTTTTCATGAGCTCTACAACAAATGTCCATAGCCCACAACAGCTTGGGGAGCAGATGTATTAGTGAGCAGAGTGGGAAGCAACTGTGTCACTGGGAACAGGTTCCCGTGGCTGCAGTGAAGACCATTGCCATGGGTATACTTACAGTGAGGGTCCCCTGTTGCAGTGGCTGTGGTGAGGACCTGTGGGGTGGGATTTGTTGCTGATGCTCTGTCTGCCACTGATAGCTTTTGCCTGTGTATTTCAGAAGTTACAAGGGACGTCAGGCCCCCTGCTCTTGACCGAGGAGGAGAAACGCACCCTGATTGCCGAGGGCTACCCCATCCCTACCAAGCTGCCCCTCACCAAAGCAGAGGAGAAAGCACTGAAGAGGGTCAGGAGGAAAATCAAGAATAAGGTCTCTCATTTCATTACATCTTAAGCAAATAGTTTAAATCAGGGGTGGACAAACTTTTTGGCCCAAGGACCACATTGGGGTTGCAAAACTGGATGGAGGCCCGGGTAGGGAAGGCTGTGCCTCCCCAAACAGCCTGGCCCCCGCCACCATCTGCCCCCTCCCACTTCCTGCCCCCCTCAGAACCCCCTACCCATCCAACCCCCCTTGCTCCTTGTCCCCCTAA